TTTCACAACTGTTGCAAAAAGGTGGAATTTGGAGAACATTTTGGGGTCTTTAAGAGGTCGTGATACGATGCTTTCACAACCAAATTATCACCTTCAAAAGACACAATAACGATGTCTATGCGACAAAAACCTCATCTGCAAAGACGTAGTAAAGACATCTTTGCAACAGTTGCAAAACAGTGGATGTTCGCAGACATCTGGGCATCTTAAAGACAACATATTGCAACGTTTTTGCAACGATATCCGTGACGAGTTTGCAACGTCGTTATGATGTTGCTGTGCTACTTGGATTGTTTGCTAAATCTGAAAAAAAAAATAGGTGGATAAAACAGAAAGCAATGTAGATTTAAAAAATCATATTGATACTATAAAACTAGTAGTTCCTTCCTGCTTGGGGGGGGGGAATGTCCAATGCCAGGTTTTATCAGTTCCTAGTTTAACAGGAAGTATTATTCCAATCCAAGGAATCAAATAATGGCAAATCAATAAATATGAAAGTATGACTGCTACAAATTCTCCAGGTTATGATATTCATAACCCTTTGGTGTTACTTTACAGTATATAGATTTATTCTCTAAACCTAAAGTAGCTCATAATTTACATACTACAACTACTACCTGCCTGACCTACATTATTTGTTACTTGCAGCAAATATGTTGCAGGCAGTAACATGAATGAGAATTTCTCTTAGAAAGTCCGCAATGAAGGTATTCCTTCACTTAGGCAGACACCCCATGTGTGCTTTGCGATATTCAAATAACTATAAAAGCGTGACATAGACTAAACATGTCTATTAAGAATTAAAAATTTTGGTTCATGTCTTGCAGTGATTGATGAAGAGTTGTCAGCAGAGTGTTAGAACACAATGAACTTACTTACTTTGGAAGTGACAATCCCTTAAACTGAACTTTGGTGCAAACTGTAATACTAAAAAACTTTCAGAATTTGAATTTTGAAACTTTTAATGTTTGAAATTCCTAGGCACCTTTCCCCCTTTTGAAACTAATAGCATTTTAGTATTATACTCTGTGTTTTAAAAACTGAAATTAATGAATTGAGAGTTGATAATTCATTAAGTGAAAAGATGCTAAACTTTAAGTCCATAGGGACAATTATAGCCAAGTTTTCCATATAGAAACATATCTTCCTTTTTTTTTAGTAAATTACAGTGAAGTAATCAGTGGACATATTGCTAATATGTAAATATAAACTGCTGATGAGATATTCAGATTACCTAGCTGTGGCTATATGTAACTAAATACAAACAGGTCCAGCTAATAGAATTTCTGTATTTCTGGTTATTTTTTAACCAAAAATAGACAATTTTTCAACTAAAAAGTTTCATTTACTTTCAGTTTCAAGTTGTAATTTTCAGCTTTTTGTAAAACAGTTACAAAACTTACCAATGAAAATTCCAGTGTATTCTCAGTTTATTGGAGCCAATTTATACCCAACCATTATTGTAACACAGAATTTTCAATAACAGACTAACTTTCTAAGCAATTTGTTGTGATAAATGCAATACTTATTATACTAACTATCAGCTAAATTACATTTACTCACTAGTGAATATTCTGGGGTCTTTGACTTGTCGATCAGATCAGGATAAAAGATCTAAAAATACAAAAGATTTACATTAATAAATCAAGCCAATATATTACCAGAAAATCACATACATGCTTTAAAGAAATTACTCCCACAGTAGGCATTTCGATAGGTCAGCTGCTCATACAATGATGTTCACAATGTTTTAAGTATGAAAGCAAAAATAATGGAAAACAATATTTTTAGATATTCGCTAAACAGATGGCCTTTCCAGCAATATTTAACTGAGTTGAGCAAATCTTGACAATACAAGTCCCAAGAATCATATTCTGCCTAGTGAAATTTTATTTGCAAGGAGAATGTCACATGATACTCCGTGCTTCCATTATTTCCAATACATTTTTTTATGTATCCATACGAATATACATACTATTTTATAAAGAATTTATTATACTTATAAGGCTGAAGTATATCATATACAGTGAAAGGTAACTTTATAGTTTTAGCAAATTATCAAAAACAAGCAAAGAAGAAAGCAGACTATTGGTTTTTTGTAGTCTATATAGCTCAACCAAAAAGTAGCCAAAAATTTTTTTTGGACGATGCTTATAACATTTTAATGTGTCTACTATTAGTCACATGCAATGCATTAAGTCATTCAGAGATTTCTAACTAGGTTCTGTGAAATATTAGATAATCAGACATTTCAATGGCTGCATTAATTTGATTTTTAGTTTGCAAATATTAGAAATTGTGAACTGATAAATAATGTTTTTCATGTACCTCCAAGAAAATATATCCAATGGAATGCTATCTAGACATCTACATGGCCATAGTACTGAACATGCTCTTCCAAACCAGTAACTCGGGAAGTTTTCATCTAGAACACATTTAAAAATTAACCAGCACACACAGTTAAAATGAAGTTAGAAATGAGATAAAATACTCCAGTCAATAACCATAATAGAAGAGTAGCTTTTTTAATCTCAATTTTAATTCATTTTAGCCACATGTGCCAATTAATTTTTAAGTTTGTTCTGGATGAAAAATTCCCAGATTACTGGTTGGGAAGAGCATATTCAATCAGGGTTAGTAGCCACATTTTAGTTAAAAAAATAAGCACCTATAAGTACTTTTCAAGCATATTTTAAGGAAAAAAATAAGCACCTTTCTAATTACATTATACACAGCTGTATGACTTTGAAAGAAAAACTAGGCTTGTAAATTAAACTAAGAGAAATTCAGTACTTATTAAGAGAGAATGAGCATTACTCAACCATGGGAAACAATTACATTTTTTTTTAAATTTTAAATAACAGTTCAATACACAGAATTAGTTTACAATGAGGGGGGGAAACTATGCAGAACTAAATTATATTGCAAGATTTAATGATAAAATTTCAGTTCAATATAAAGAAAATAAATAATAAGTTATATTTATTATATTCGCCTGGCACCTAAAAATAAATACAATTTATTTTTCCACTCATATTAATATTTAAATAATTTAACTTATGTAATGAATGTAACGGTTTCAATATATTTTTCTAAATCAAAATTCTGAACATTTTCTAAATTTTCATTGTATAACAGTTTTCCCTTAACAGATATTGCAAGCAAAGTAATTTAAGTAAAAATAAGTAAAAAAAAAGGAACATTTCTGAAATCAGAAGATGGTAAATTGCTCCATGCAGTCATCCTGTAGCAGTAAAAGCTTAAATAACCGGCATACCTGGAAATTGCCGAATATCTGAAAATTCCGGATAATCGAGTGTAACTGGAAAAAGAGGAAGAGGGGTAGATTGTAGCTTTTCTTTAGATTTTTCAGCTAAATAATGCTTTTGACATTTCGATATGTGAATCAGATAAAACTAGCTCAATGGAACTGAAAAAGAATCCACTTAGCAAGCATAGTAAAACTCTTTTATCTCTGCAAAATATCGCAAATGTTACTGCGCAATACGTGCACCTTAATTCTTCCACACGTTATATGCAATTGGAATCAACAGCTGCCGATATTCAGAGAACAAATAACTAAATAAAACTAAATAAAGGAAAACACCTCTTAGCTTCGTCCGGTTTTCACCGTCATGCGTCCATGTGGCATATTTATCTTTGAGCAGGACACGTCGCGCTCTGCGGGATATCCCTCCCGTACTCATATTTAAGAGATAAAGAGATTTACCAATCTCGTTGCTTGTCATTCTAATTTTGAACAAAATGCATTAAATTTCTGGAACAGAATCATTCTTCGCTTGGGCTGGTACACCACAGAACTTGTAGTCCTATTCAATCCAGATGGGAAAGTGATGCCAAAAAAAAAAGTCCGTTGCTTGCTTTGCTTGCGAACTGTAATGGTTTGAATATTCGAGACTTTGCGGAGAAAGGGGAGAACCCCCCACCTTTCCATAATGTATAATGCATTGGCAAAAAAAAAAAAAATTATTTTGATTATTCGATTACTTTCACTTTATATATGCCATTCCGAATATTATTCCTTAGAAAAACTAATCTGTGTTAAAACACACTTACCCATTTTTGAAGTTTATCTATATTTCAGCAGTTACTGCAAATATATTATTAGAAATATACACACTTATGCTCATAACATAAGCATAACAATCATAATAAACACAAATATCAACTGATCACGTGGAACGAGAATGCAAATTATTAAAATCTTGATAGAAGTTCAAACGTATTGAGTGGGAGGAAAAGAACAGGGAATGTACCGGAAATTTCTACCGCTTTCGCAATTATTTCACCAATAGAACGACATGCACCTGTCTGTACTCGCATGCACCACAGGTTATGTTAATGTAGAGAAAGGAGCAAAAAGCTATTTCCAGGAGTATGATTCACCATCTGACGTTCCATATAAGGAAGAAAAGTTGTTTATTTAGTTTCGGCTTTGGTACGGGGAAAAAAATGAGCATTCATTAAAAAAAAGCAATAAAAGCAAAAAATAAGCACTAAAAACAAAAAAAAAATAAATGCTTTAAGGAAAAAGTAAGCACCTATAAGGGCTATTATATTTTATTTTCTAATATAAGGACTTATAAGCACTTGTAAGGACCGCTATGAACCCAGTGAATAATATGCCCATTGCCATCATACTACAGCAACACTGTGGAAACCAATAAAAGAAAATTATGAACATAAACCATACATTCCAATTCTAGCTAATGAAACAAGTGGGTCGCCTGCAAAGCTCAACTACTATTATTCATGTTTATATGTGTGTTGTATTTTATCTCATTTTTAACTTCATGTAACATTGTATACTTAGAAACTACTGTGGGGGGGATGGCCCATTCCACTGGAAAATGACACTCAATTTCTAGTAGTCTGTGTAAAATGAATATCTCAGGCCTATCAAACTTATTTGCAAAATAAACACTTCATTCAGAAAATAAAAAAAAAGCCTTGTAAATTAAAAGTGCAGTAAACCACACTATGCATTTACTTTTAGGAGTGTCTCCTGTTTGCTTTTACACATCATGAGGCTTTTCAAATCCCCAAATTACATAAGTATGCTTATGAGGGCTGTCTGAAGTTTCTGACCTAACAAAGAAAAAAGATATTTTCTCCAAAATTATCTTCCTTTTTCAACATAGTCTCCTTGTACATCTACACATTTCTTCCAACAATGCTCCCATCCTTTTAACCTGCCCAAATAATATGCCGAATCATTCTCTGCAAAGTAATTATTAACAAAGTTCGTAACCTCCTCATTTGACAAAAATCGTTGTCCTCCAAGTGCTTCTTTTAGCTTACGGAACAATAAAGAGTCACTTGGTCCCAGGTCCAGCGAATAGGGCAGGTGGTCCAGCAGTTCAAACTGTAATTCATGGATTTTTGTCGTTGCAACTGCTGAGCTGTGAGGTGGAGCATTGTCTTGGTAAAACAATTTTTTTTTTCTTTTGCAAATATGGCTGTTTCTCCGCAATTTGTCAAACTTGTCAAATAACACTGCATGGTGTGCTCCGGTATTTTCCCTCTTCAAGATAATTTATCAAGACAATCCCATGGCTGTTCCAGAAAACTGTTGCCATTGATTTTCTAACAGAAGGAGCCGATTCTCTCTTTGCAGTCCAGTGTTTTGACTATGTTTTTGTTTCTGGGCTGTAATGATGAATCCAGGTTTCATCTACAGCAATTAATAGTTGAAAAAACTCTGATTTAATGTGCCTGAACTGCACCAGTAGAATGGTGCAAATGCTCATTCGGCTATGTTTCTGGTCCAAAGTGAATAAATGAGAAACCCAACATGCTGCCTTCTGGCACATAGCTAAATCTTGGTTCAATATGTGGCAAACACATTTTTTGGACATGCGCGTAGCCTCTGCTAGCTCTCCAACTTTGATTTGACGGTCATTCAGCAAAATTTGGTGGATTTTACAGGGTTCGTACACATTTCTGCACATGGAAATTAAGTACTTTTAAGGACTTTTCAGGACCATTAATGAAAAAAAATTAAGGACCTATGAGCAAATGGAAATTGAATATTCAATTAAAACTATATTCTATGCCCCGAATTTCACTTTGTATAGATCCCTAAGTAGTATGCATTTTACTAACAAGAATTAACTAACATAATTAATTACAGTTTGAGAATAAAAATAAATTTCATTCATTTTACAATAGCATTAAGTATTTTACACTTATAAATCGGGCATATTTTAAAGAAGATGTGACATTTACGTTTTAATATAGTTAGCTTTATGCTTTTTTTTTTTTTTTTTTTTTTTTTTAATGTCTTCTTTTGTCACAATACTTGGTCAGTCTAGAGGTTTAGCAAATAGTAGGGAGATTTTATTCAACGGCATAGGTTTAAATGAGAAGTGAGATCATATCAGCATGATTCATAACAAAAGACAGAATGTTGTCTCTCTGCTGCTTGTCTATAGAGAACCTGCTGACTGGAACAAACCGAAAGGCCTGATGTAGGCAGTTGGCAATTGTTGAAAGTTAGTCAAGCTCTGCTTATGCAGTTAATGTCATAGCTTTGTTAGATTCCAGGTTGGTAACCCGTTAATACTTAAAGGTTCCAATAAGCCATAAAGTGC